ACCACCAGGAATTATTGCTTCGGTCGTAGACAATTTTTAACATCTGGTTTTCACAGACTCAAAGAAATGAGCACACATGGAATCCATTATCAATAACTCCTTTGGTTGGAAAAAAGATCCCATACGACACTGCCAAACTTTTTGTAGCCACTCGTGCATGATTGTTTCGCACATCTAGCCGTTCTTGTTTGCGCAAATAATTACGTCATTAGGAAAATCTCCCTTCGGAATAGTCTTTCGTTTAAAAATGATTATCGGCTTTAGCTTGTCACCGTTTGCAGCACAAGTAAATAAGCTAACACACATGTAAATAATGTTCTTTCATGCCCTGTCATAAACACATATACAGTTTTTGCACCAGTTTCATCAACAGTTCTGTTTGCAGGAGAGTCGAAAGCTAACGGCGTTTCATCCATATTTATTATCTGTGACCGAAGTTTTTTTTTTTGTCAATAATAGCTGTCACATATTTTAGAAAAGATGACTTTTTATCCTGCCAGTTCATTGGTAATTGTTGCCCGGCTGTTGTTCTAGTACGCACAGAAATATTTTTTCTTTTCATAAATCTGCTACACCTCCTTTGAAATCATTTATGTTCATTCATTTCGCTATAAATTTTGCTTGTAAGCAAATTTTTACAGTCGAAATTGCCATTCCCTTTCCTCGTTGCTCCTTTATCCAGTTTGCAAGGTCGTCCTCTAGATTTGGTCTTTTGCATGGGAACAGCACCAGTCTATGTACAATGACAAGGCCATCCAAACTCTGTACAATGACTATCATAGGAAATATTTTATTTTTAGTGCACCTAAACGCCGTGGCGTTTCTTCCGGAAATTACGGTAATTCGGAATGATCTATAATCCAGACTTCAAAGCTACAAACTTTCTGCGCTTGCGCATAATACGTTTACACATGCGCATTTAATGTATAATGGACTGTATAAGCTAAGCTAAAATTATGTAATTATCTATTTCAGTTAATTTTGCAGATTGGGTTTTTCCTTAATCTTCTAATTGGATCTGGCTTATTTTGTAAGCTTGAACTTTCGATTCCGTCAAAAAGAGTTTCCGATTCTGGAGCTGCCAAAGGATCTACAAAGCAAAAGCATGTTTCAATGTCCATCAAACAAAAGTGGAATTGCTACAAAAAATGGATAAAGGCGTATCATTTGTTTCTCTAACCATTCCAAAGTGCAATTTTCTAATTTCGACTGTGCGTAATGTATGCTTTATGCATGCACGCGTTGAAAGAAATGTTTAATAAAGGAAACAAATAAATATTAAGCTTTTTTTGTGTAAATTTTGATACCCTTTAGATCATAATTGCTCTTTATTACATAAATTACGGTTTCATATTTTTAATTTTATAATTTCTGCATGCCATCTTACCAGACTTTAAACTGATTATCTATAATCCAGAATCGCTGAAGTTCCGAAAAGATTAAAGACTTTTGGCTGTACTATCTTAAATCAAATACAACATATTAAAGATATTTGCACAAATACAATAGATCTACTATGCAAAATTCTGCTCCTTATTAAAATTCTCAAAAATAATCTAGTATCTAATCATTCTCTTAAAAGAGTCTCTATTAATCATTGTCTTAAAAGAGAAAACATTAAATACTCTCTCTAAATCATTTAACTGATAGGGATATGAAAATTTGTTCCTAAACCTGAAAAGCCATGTAAGTTGGATGACTATCATTTTGAGGATTTGTACATAAGATTATTACAGAAATAATTGTATATAATGTAAAAAATTGTTTTCTGGTATTTTCTTATTACTTTTGCTGTTACTAAAAAATGAGCTTATTTCATATTCTAAGTCTGCTAAATAGCTTGTTAGCAATGAAAATTACTATTTTCTTCCTTGTTTTGCAATGACAATTAGCCAGAAATTAACTAATTTGCTTTCACTAGTCAGTATAATATCAAAATTTTAACAAACGCATTTACACTCACCAAAGGTGCAACCACTTCCCTTCCACCTTCCAAAAATAGCTTCTCAAAGGTTAACTGACTAATAATTCAAAGGGTTCCCACTGCTACGCATTACATATCGGATAGCATATCACACTCCTTCTGAGTAAGAAAACAGACATGACTTCATCCTCCCACTAGAAAAGAACGTAAGTTAATTAATTCCTATTCTGGCCTTTTATGTATATTGTGTACATTTAAATTTGTGCATTTCCTTGTAACTTATTTTATAAATATCTTTCAATTTTTCAACTTATATTTAATTAATTTTGCAAAGATTGCATTGTTTATTATGTTTATAGCGATTACTTTGAATTCTATTTCATAAATATAGCAAAGATTAAATTCTGTTTATTATGTTTATAAAAATAGCTTTGAATTAACATGCATGAAAGCGGGGGTGTAGGGGGAACACTTTATTCAAGTAAATAATAAATAAATGCTACTAGTACTATTTTATCCAGCAGAGAAATTTATTTACTCCTACTCAGTTTGGCAATAATATCTTGAGATTTCTAAAAAATTCATTAACTAAACTAAACTGCTACATTCAAAATGAATTCTTTATAGTATCGTCAAATTAAAGAAGTAAATCAAAAGTCCCCACAAATGATGCTCATTTGGATCAAAACTTGACATTTTTGCACGAAAAATTATATGATACTGATACAAAATTGCTAATATTTCAAGGTTTTTTCCTTAACAGATGTTCAACCTTACAATATGGCATTTTACATCAGATAGTTTTAATTATAATTTACTGATGGTGCCATTTTTTATCAAATGTCAGAGACTTATTTGTACTCCCTATATATATTATACAGATTAGATTTGTTTCAAAAGAATAAATAGTAAAGTTAAATTTAAATAATTCTCTTGCGCTATTGCTGCAAGGAATGAAATTTGAATTTAACAAACATTCTCTATTCATAAAATGGGCCCACCAGCGGCCGAGCGGTAAAGGCGCTGAACACTGGTAGTTTGGTCTGAGGTTCGAATCCCGCGAACGGGCTGGCTGCATGGGCGTTTTCGTGGTTTTCCCCATGTGTAACGTGTATACGAGCCAGTTTCCCTTAGAAAGTCCTCCACGAAAGGCATCCCTCCCTTTAGGCAGATAGCCCTCGTGTGCTTTGCCATAATTAAATACACCAACACCAACTCTATTCATAAAAAGCTAATTTAAAGTTAATAAATTTAAGGAAATTTAATGCAAACAAATAAATGATTAATTATAGTTGCAAACTGATCTACAATATCATTTAAATTCTGAGAACATGTATAAATCAAGGGAAAGTATCAAAATAATAAATAAGTATATAATTACAAAATTTATTTAATCCAAAAATGTTTTTATAAAAATGCATAAGTGAATGATTGTTGAGGAGGCAGACTTATCAAGGGGAAGTTGCCTTCAAACCTAACTCTTCAATCATTCAATTCGTGTTTCCTCATCCATGTAAGACAAGGGTAAAGGTCAAAACCAAAAGTAAAAACCAAATGTGGTGAATGATAAAAAAGAAATTTAAACAAGTTGAATTTTGAGAAATTAGCAATTAAAAGACTAGAATTAAAATTAAAAAATTAATAAATAAGAGTAGAAAACAAAACGAATTATGCATATAAATCAAAAGAAACGACATTATCTATAAAAAATACATTAATTATGCTTAAAAAATACTAAAAAGGTAAGTAGTAAGTTTTAATTTTAACTTCCTATATTTGTATTTGGGAAGTGGAGAAGCATTGCCAACTAAGTGATGTTAAATGTGTTCTGCAAACTTTATAAATAGAGGGCGCTAATGTAAGGTTGAGCGTTAAGCTGCTACGTGATCTATTAAAAAAAACTTATTCTGTAAACTTTTAAGTAATGTAAAATGTATGTTCTGTTGCAAAATGTTTGAAAATTGTAAAACTTCACTGTAAAGTATTAAAGATGTAAAAATTGAAAATGTTTTGAAATAAAAGTACAAAAAAAAATTATTATGAAGTAAAATTTAATTTTAATTTTGAAATTTTTTTAAATGTTTTATTTAAAGAAAGAAGTAGTTTTATAAGATATGAGAGATTTCATTCTTAAATTTATTCATAATGCTATACCTTATCAAGATCTGGAGATGTCTTGCTCTGTTTTTCATAAAATATATTAATATCTTACTACCAAAACAGGATCTGTTAGAAAATGCAAGGTAGTATTAGTATATCATTTCAGAAAATTGTGTTGATAAAGGTGAAATGAGGAACAAATGAAATGCTGTAAAAACGATCACTTGAAAAACTTTTGAAATTCATTACTCAATAACTTGGAAAACTTTGAAAACTGTGAGATGAAAAACAGAATAGTGGAAATGATGCAAAAATGGTTTTAATTGTTTAAGTCACTTTTTCCATCATTTATTATTTTACTGAATAATCCAGCATGAAAAATTTTTGGCTTTAGAAATTTAAGTAAAAATATTTTACTTTCAGAGTGCCAGGAAATTTAGTGAGCCACAGGTTTTTCTGCCTTCCCCAAACCTGAACTCCAGCTTAGAATTTCCTCCATGGAGTTCTGCTTAAAAGAGCCAGACTTAAATTGGATTTCATTTGCAATCAGCACAATATTGCTTGAAAGATCTCATTTTATTACATTAAACTGCTTGCTTTCAGATTTTCATAATCTGCTCAATCCAGTGAATTTTGCCTGGTTAAGACATTGGATATATTTCCAGAGTCCTGTTGATGCTGTAGGAAAATTCAATCATAGTCTTTGTTTGAAAACAAAGGAAACAAATAATTTAGCTGTATTTGAATACGTTATTAATTAAGTCTCTGGGCTAGCATAGAGATGTTAAGCATTAAGTTTACTATTTGTAATTCTGGACTATGTTAATGGAAGATATTTCATTTATTTTAAAGCCTATAATATAATATGTTTAAAATATATTAGTGTTGATTTCTATACTGTTTCAGTATTAATTTTTTTTATATTGGCTAATTTTTGTTAATAAATTTTATTTATTTATTTATTTTAATTTTCAAGATGGTGACATCTAGCTGCTTAAGGACTCTTCAAGGTCTTTTCAGTTCAGTACCCAAACCGGAGAGTCTTCCTGTTGATTTAAATGCTCGCATTATAAGCGTAAGAAATTATTCATTTTTAATTTTTGTAAAAAGTCTTCTCATATTTTCTTTTATTACAGTTTCATTAAAAATTATGTGGTTGTGTTTATATGTAAAACTATTAATAAATAAATTTTGTAGGCATTATATGACTATCAACCAAATGTGAAAGAAACTCAGTCTTTGATTAATTGGCTTCAGTTGATGGAGGTTGCTTTCCTTAATATATTTGGGTAAGTCAGTCGTATGACATTCAGCACAGCAGAATTAAAAAATTTGTCGTTTCATTTTTGATTGATGGAATTAATTATTTTTTATTACAGTCTTGATAAAAAGCTATGTATATCTCATTTGGCCAAATTCTATTCTGTTGTTGTGAAGTGTTGGCAAAATGATGAGGAAGAGGTTATGGTTATTATAGCTTCTACTTTAAAGGTGATTGTTAATTTTTTTAATAATTAGATTGGTTATTGTATTGTTTTGTGTATTAATACTATTATTATCTGTAGGTAGTTTATGGTAGAATTAATATATGATTTTAATTTTGAAAAACAAAATGCTAAACTAAATGAGTATTTCTTTTCTATCTCTAGAATCTTTTACACAAATGCATTGATCCTGACAGTGAAGTTTTTCAAGAATTCTTACTGGAAGATCCTGTGAACAATCCTATGCATAAAATGTTTTATCATGTGGAAAGTGCAATGAGCTATCAATATCACAAAGCATGGGCACATGTTCTTAATGTTCTCACATCATTTTTTCAGGTTTTAAATTTTATTCATGATAATTGCATGAAATGTTCCTTTTGTTTGATATATTTTAAAATAAGGAAAATATTGTTTATCAAAACTGTACTTAGAGCTGAAATTAAAAGGAAAAAATGCCAACTTTATCATCCATCATAAAGCTGTGTGAGACGTTTTCAAGTATTTTAATTATTTCTTAGTTTTTTGCTCTGAAATTAATGATGGAATTTATTTAGCTTAGTTGAAAAAATATTTTTTATTCATTTATCAGCGCCATTTTGCCTGCAGACATGCTTTTGTTATTTTTTATCTAACATTTTGGCTTTTTTGATAATGCATAATTTTGATTTTATTATCTTCACACTAAATAGCATTTTTTGGAAATGCATTTAAAAAGTACCAAAACCATTTTAACTGTTACAAAAATAGTGTCTTTTTAAACAGTTGTGTTGCAGTTCAAATATCTGATATTATTTAATTGATACTAATGTGGAAAATATTTTTTTCCAGGTTATGGGAAAGCATTGTTACACAGTGATGCTAAAGGTAAATTTAATTTAATTTTTAACCTCTTTTCTGCCTTTTTGCTGCTTCATATAAAAATATTTCTTTTTCCTTTATAATTCTTCATAATTTCAAAAGCTATTTAATTTTAAAAAATGCTCTTGTTTTCTAAAAACATATTTTAATGTGCTTTCTTCACAATTTAAATTTTTATATTTGTATTTTAATTTATAGTGTCTTCAGTCTCTTGCTGATATGCATGACAGTTATAAATTTCCCTATGTCACTGAACTGGAAAAAGCCATAGGGATAGCAATACAGAGTATGGGTCCTCAAATTGTACTGCAAGCTATTCCTATGCATATTAACAGAGATATGTATGTATTCATTGTTTTTCAACATTTTTAAATTCCTGAATATTATATACACATATTAAATTATAGAATTTCAGTTATGTGACATTATAACATATCCATGTAGTTTAGCTGTATTTTTTTAACTCCTGTGGAATGAATATGTATTTACTGTGATTACTTGGAAGGCAAGATAATTTTATTTTTTTGCTTATCATACCATTATATGATATTCTATATCATCATCATTTGCTTAGTCTAAATTTAAATAGTCAGTAATTTCATTGTTAATTATTTAATGTCTAAGATTATCATTGAAAAGCCAGGTTTAACTTTTTAGTTTCTTGGGATCTCTGAAATAGTTTTCAAAGTATTGCCATCATTTAGAAAACCTTCTGCCATAATTTCATCATGTAGAATTCATTTAATTTTTCTTAACTTTCAGTGTTGTGTCTAATGGAATACTTCCCTTCATGTCTGTAACTTTAACTTCATGTCTGTAACACTGCCCTTCATGTCTGTAACTTTGTAAACACCTTTTTTTTTTTTTTTTTTTTAAATCACTGCCTTTATAAGATTCTGTAAAGCTTTTTTATCAACATCTAAAAACATCTTTTAAAAATAGTTTCGACCTGTTAAAATGCCTTAAATATGCAATGACTGTGTGGTCTATTGACTGAAGTATACTTGTCACATTAGAAGGTCAAAAGGAAATTTTAAATTTCCCACTTTCTTCACATGTGCTTTGAGAATATGGATGAGGTAAAGCATTATTTAGAATCAATGAAATATTTTTACAGTTTGAATTTTTTTTTCACCCAAGGGATGATACAGTGTTTATACTATTGAGATTTTTGATTTTCCATCCACAAATTACGAGTTTCAATTAAATTGGTTTATGCAATAAGAATCAAGAGATTTTTGTTCATTTTAAAGTCTATAACACGAAAAGTGATGCACCAAAAAAGAGTTATCCAAGTGGAACGAAAATCGGTAAATGTGCTGTACATATATTGAAAAGGAAATACAAATAGTATCATATGAGTTGAATGTTTAATTCAGGAAATAAAGCTACAAGAGCAAAAAAATAATCAATAATGTGTTGGCCCATTTCTGGCCTTGATACAAGCTGTTTTCAGGCTGGCTCATAGAGTTTGTGGATGTTTTCTTGCAAGATCGCTTGCCATACACATTCCAACCGGCAAATTAAATCGCCTTGATCCTGGGATGATCAGAGACGTCTGCTCATCAGAGCCCAAATGTTCTGTGTTGGTGAAATATCTGTTGATTGCATCAGCCAGAGAACTATTGAAGAAGCATGAAGAAAAGCAGTGAAAAGGCATGCATGTGTGTCCAGGCATTATCCTGTTGAAATGTAAGCCCAGGGGTCTGTGAAAGGAAGGCAACACTATAGGGTGTAGAATTTTGTTGATGAACCCCCATTCTCTAAAGATGTCGTGGATGGCAATCAATAGAGTCTGTCTATCAAATGAAAAGGCGTCCCATTCTAAAAATCTTGTTGTTGGGCTGTGTGACAAACACACACTGCTGTCCTGGATGGATTCAGAAACTTCTTCACTGGTCATTGGGGCTCATTTCAAAGTGGGTCTTATTATTGAAAACATCTGTACTCCAGTCTGTGAGATCCCAGGTTGAATATGCCTGATACTGTGCAATGGTGTGGTGCAGTTGACATAATATGTCCTTCATGACCTTAACTCTAGTTTGCTGAATAACCTATCAGTGTTCATTGTAGTCATTGGTGTCCTTGTTACACACTGGATTATTAATAAAGAAGCCTCGGATTATAAGCACCAATGAGACGACGCATTAGCATAGTCCATGTGGGTCGACAGAACCACATTCCCATGGAAGTTATGCCATATCATTGGAATGTCCTCTGTTTTGTACACCATCCAGATGCTCTGTTCTAATGCACTGGAGCTCCAGGTAGGCAGTCATTAGCTGCCAAAAGTTAATCATTTGCATATTCTATTGTAAGGAATTGGCATGTGCAGTTTTGTCACATTCATATAACTCCTTCTTGGTGCATTGCTTTTTATGTTTTAGGAAGTGTTATTGAATATACTCGTTTTATTTTTTGAAGTGTGCATTTTCTGTGGAAAAGTGGTTCTTTAATGAAGATCCATATCATCAGTATAACCAAAATCATTAAAAAGTTTTTAACAAAAATCAGGATCATAATTTTCTTTAATTTTACCATTGAAAATTTCCATGAATATTTTGGCCAACTGTAAATTAGCATTTGAAGTCTGCAAATTCCATTGGTGATTTAAAAATTGTCAGCCAATTTTTTTTTTAACAGTAAGTTTACCTTTGAGTAGATACAGCAGTAAATACTGAGAGTCCATTCTGAATATTTATCATTTAAAACATTTTTATAATTGAGATGTACTCTACAGCCAACTGTTATGAAAATAGAAGCCAGATAACGCCTTTTATGGGCACAGTAACTTTTCTATTAATGTTTGCAAACAGCTTTTCCCAAATGTTATGATAATATTGATATGTCATATTTATTGACTTGCAATTTACATATATATAGAAAGACTGTAAATCAGTGAACATGCCATACATATTACTCTGAATAAATCTAAAAGATTCTCAAAATGCATGTACTGTTTCATTTTATCCTTTATGTACTATTTCATTTTACTTTATTATTTAAACAATCAAACCTGTCATTGAAAAATATTAGAAAACTCATTAATAGCAACGAAAGGCTTGAATTTAAATAGTTTTGAAAGAATAACAAGGAATCCAGGTAACTGGCATTCTGCTATACTTATATTTTTATGCATTTTGTTGCATATGTAATTAAACATTTTTACTATTCATTTTTAATATTTTAAAATTTAATTTTATAAAAAAAATAGAACAAATTTTATTTGGCTTATTCTAATTTTAGGGCAGTGAGGCTGTTTTTCTAGAAATATGTTAGAAGTATCTATAATTTTTTTTTAAAAAAATTATAAGCATGTAAGAATATAAGGAAGTGTTCTATTAAATTCAGTCTCAAAACAAAGGTAATTTTCCTATATTTGTTAGGTAGTGCAGCTTAGTATTTACTTCAGTTTATGCTTAAACGTTCAGTGTTGGTAGTAGTCAGTCAGCCCTTCATCAGTTTTTAAATGTTCCCCCTTTTCTCCAGAAATGTTAACAATTTGCCTCGTAGCAATGCAGTGTAAGCATTATAATTTTAATTTATCACTGTGTTCTTCTTGATTATTGCTATTTTTATCATGTACTTATGATTTGTATTAAAAGGGGTGTCTTTTTTATTTTAAAAATATATTTTCTTTAAATTTTAAAATTGTCATTCTATGATTATTAAAATTTCATGTTCTACCAAAGATTTTCTCATTACTTTGGCTCTCAAAGTTTTGATTGTATCTCTGAAATAGCATTTATAGAAGAATTAACTCTTAGTACTGTAGAATTAAATTTAAATATTTATACTTTATCTTTTGGAGGTAAATTACACTTGAATTTGAATACACAGATCCGTACAATGAGCTTATCTTAGTTGAAAGATTATTTTGCCTGATAGTATATGAATGAGTTCTACTAGTATATGAATGAGTTCTACTGTTCTTCATAACAGGTTTTATATCATATTGTTTTCTTTGGCATAATTGTATTCTAAAAATACAATATAAAAATTTCCTCTAATCTTGGTAATTTTAGTTTTTTTGAAATCTCTTCCACTGAAATAAATTTCATTGTTGTAATATTAAATTACAAAAAAAAAAAAAAAAAAATCTGCTACTGTGATTTTAAAGAACAAGCTATACTTTATTCCTGATTTATGTGCCAGATCCTGAATATAAGTTTTCAGATTATTAAATCTGTTTCTTTCAGGGATAAGCCTGATTTTCCTAGAAGTTGGTTACTGCCTTTGCTACGTGATAATATAAAAAAAACAGAACTAAAATTCTTTATTCAGTACTTCTTGCCATTAGCAGGAAAAATAAGAAACCAAGGTATGTATATACAAATCATCATGTGTATAAAGTATATGTGTGCATAAAATGCAACTGCATAGTGAGAATCAATTCAGTGGATAACTTTATAGTAAAAAGATGTCCTATTATGTATTGCATTCTATGGCCATTGTTTAAATTCTGAGTGGTTTCCTTTATATTAATGAAATCGACATAACAGAATTTCAGGTCTCTAAAGTATATTTTCCAGCTGTGATTAAGACAGTCAAACTTTGAGACTATTTTACTTAAAAAAGAGGGTTGCATGTAATATTGGTACCAGACTTGAAAAAAAATTCTCACTAAACCCTGTCAAATACATGTATCAGATTTCTGCAAAAGCAGCTTACAGTCTTCAGTCAATAACCTGGGTTGGACACCAAGTGCCTTATCTCCTGTAATAGCAGAAGATGTTTCTTGATTGTATTCTAACTTGCTTCTGATTGGCTAAACTACTTGTAACATTGCAAACTACTTGTAACTACACGTAATATTTTAAATCTCGGAAGTAAAAAGTTGTATATTGGAGTGTACCTTCAAATGTATTCTGGGAAATCACTTTTCTGGAAAAGTTTATATGTTTAATCTCATGCCTTTCAATATGATCATCCTTTCAGAAGCTTCATATATATAAACTTGATATGTGTAAGATGTTTTGCGAGAAAAATAAAATTAAATGATCTTGTTGTCATATCTTGAGGTGAAGTAAAGTTGTTTTCTAAAGATAATAAGAAAAATGTAAAGTTGTATATATAAAATGGATATGGATTCAAAGAAGTATTGTCTTATATTTAGGTTAATACAATATTAATCACCAACTCTGAGTATGTTTAAAAAAAAAGACTAACTTATTAATTGGGTAAATTTGTATTTTTCAGTGGTTAAACTGATAGTCATACATTTTACCATAATAAAAAGTGCTGTGGGTGTATAGTATGCGATCTTTCACTTTTCATTAGTTATCTATTTTTTAGATGGTGGTATTAAAAATTAGTTGTTTTAATCATTTTTCACCACTATTTTATTTCACATTTGAATTTAAAACTAAACTTTTAGTGGCGCACTATCTGAGAAATAAGATTAAAATTTGTAGATCACATACTCCAGGACTATTGGACCCCATCCATTATACTTTAAAAATGTCTGAAAGTAATTGTATATATAAAATCAATGCAAATAAACTGTATGCACAGCTGATCTATAAAACAGTTTCCTCATAAGTACATGAAAAAACACATGTGCACTCTAACCTTTTGCATCCATCTTATGTAATAGAAATTAATAGTTGAAAAGAGGAAAGGAAAGCTTTTGGTTTAAATGCGTTTTACTATTATTATAAACTAAACCATATACTAAATCACCCTCTTATATAATGCAAACATGTTTTAAGCGTTCTTCAGCATGAAATAAAAATTTAGCTTTTTATTTTTAAATCCAAAATATAATGCCCATTACTGATTACAAACTTTTCTCATCCTTTTCTTGAATTCTTAATTTAATTATAGCAAATTTTTTTTTTTTTTTTTTTTTTTTTTTTTTTTTTTTTTTTTTTTTTTTTTTTTTTTTTTGAAATTGAAGACTGTATTGAGCTTTATCAGGTATGATCATTTAAGTTTCATTGTTTCCCATGTTAAAAAAAAAAAAAAAAGTTAATCCACCATACGTATGAAATCAGGATATTTATAATAGGTGACATATTACTAGTTACAATTTCTTTTCTGTGAAATATCTTTTTCCATACAAGATTTGGTTTAAAAAAATTAAAACTGTTATTGTTTTAAGTTGGTAGCAATTTAATTTTTACTTAAATGTTCAGAGCAAGATAAATTTTACTCATTAAAGTGCAACTATTTTATGACTGCTGCAGAAAGCAGCATAATTTATGGAATGAGTCAACAGTATTTTGGTTAGCTAATCAAATGAATAGTAACTATAGTGAAGAATTATTTTTACAGATTTAGTAATAATGAATATAAGTATTCACAGTGCAAAAATTTAATAATAATTTAATCTGGATAATTATGACAAAATATGAAAATGCTTTTAATTTACACTAATGCACAAAGGAAAATACACCACCATTAAAATTTTTCATGTGAACTATGTAAATTTCAGGATATATATAGACTATTTAGTCGTGCAGATTGTTGCAATTTCTGAATAGTCATGATGTGGGAAGAATAGGATTTTTATCATGTTCCATTCAACTAGTATTTTAAGCCAACTTTAGAAATTTTCTCAATATAGAAATTGTACCCCTCCCAAAGCTGATGTGTGGACTAAAGGATTTAATTATAGGTCTAAATGCAGTTAATTTGTGAAACAAATTTAGCTTCTCATATTTAATTTGAGGATGTCAAGCTGAATGTCACAACACATAGAACTGATGCATCTTATGCATTAGCACCCTTACTATCTATGACAAGCAGCATTTTCAAAAGCAATCAGATTTTTCTTTTCCCTCAGTATCAGTATTCATAATTCCTCATTGTTTAATCTGGATTTGCAGTCAAGTTATCCTTTGCAATATCCTGCTACTTATATTGAACCATCATCATAAGTGATGCTAGTGGTGAATGAATACTACCATTGGTGAATGAATTGCATTAAATAATGTTTGGTATTCATCTGGATTCTGTGTGAGTAATGGGGATTTCTGATTGAGTGTTTTTTAATGTTATTGCAACTCTGCCACTGTTGGCTCACTTGTGGTTGAATGGTAAAATTACTTAACACTGGTAGTTTGACCTAAGATTGGGCTGAATAAGTTTTCATGATTTTCCTCATGTGTAACACACTGCAAGCCAGTTTCCTTAAAAAAAAAAAAAAAAAAAAAAAAAAAAAAAAAAATCATTTCCAGTCCTAAATATTCCTTTCTACTACTAAATGTAATGAAAAACCCCACTGGCTTTGTTTTCCCCCCATATGAACATATTTTCATTAATATCCTTAATTTTTTAGAACCACCTATTTACTAATTTAGTTGTCAGATTAGGTCTAGAGAACATACCTCTGTAATAAAATTGTTCCAGTGAATAGTTATATTTTCATAAAGTCCAAGTTGTTAACACACACACAGTAAATAAATCATTGCACTGTTACAAAGAGTATTTTGAAATTATTGAACCAATTTCAAAATTTATGCATTTCCTTTGCACCTCCAAATACTTTCATTGATTGTAGTTTTATTTAATGATCATTTTTGCTTATTTGGATCCAAAATAAAATTTGTCTTTCTTGGAAGAACATTCCTACTTCTTGTTAAATTAAACATTTTTTTTATTTATTTATTTATTATTATTATTATTTTAAAAAAGAAGAAACGTTAATATCTTAAATACTGAGAACTCTTCTCATGATGAGAGAATTATGAGCAATCACGAATTGCTAACATTTATACGGAAAAAGAACGTACAATAACATGTGGCTTACTTGGAGCTCTTCTTGTAATGAGCAAACTATAAATGATTGTGATTAAAGCTGCTGATTATTTCGGTGGTTTATTGATAATCTTGGCACTGCTTACAAAACAAGGGCTGTTTAAATAAGGAAGAGACAGCAAATCTAATACTCTAAAATCTCAGTAATATATTTGCTGATATTCACTTTCTATTTTGCATATCTTCTACGAAACACTTTTCCACATTATCATACATCTGCATAGCATGAGGCATCTTGGAACCATAATTCTTCACAGAACCACAATTCCATCACATACACTAGAAATTTGAGTATGGAACTTTCATTATCTCTAGATTAGAATATTTTTAGTATCATTCTGTGTAAGCATCTGTACCACTGCATACACAGTAGTTTCATTTTTCATCGATATAAAAATATGGCTAATCTTTGGAATATGGTAACAGGTAGTTTCGCGACATTTTGGTAAGGCGATAAAGGTTGTTAGCTAGGACTTTAGCAGTAATCTGAGAAGTACACAGTTCGAATCACAGATTATTTTATCTCAGAGAAATGAGAGATCATGAGGCATGTAATGTGACATTTTCCGGAAAATTCTGATCATGATTTTAGCTAATAAGCACTTAGAAACAATTTTGCAGCTAAAGTGCAGAATCGCATACTTATTTGTTTGGCGCTTTTTACAAGAGTAAAAAGAATTGGATTTTTGTCAATTTTCTTTGACTTTTTGAGTGAAAGGTTGATGTGTACATAGATAAAGTCAAGAGTGTGCGCAATGCCATTTTTGTGCAATTCTGGAATGTTTTTTTAAGTGAAAATAGGTCGACGTGTATATGGATACCGTGTATGTGCAATTCTTAAAAACGTGGCAAGCAGTTTGCGATTCTGCACTTTCTCCCAATTTTGCACCTAATCTTCGTCATGATTAAGCATTTTTGTTCTGTAAAAGTTCTAGTATAAGCGTAATTAGGCTGGCAGATTGTTAAAAAAAATGTTGAGTAAAAAAAAACACGCCTTTACTTCATAAAAACAAAATGGTGTCCAAAACAAAACTAGCAGGTTGCTGTAGCAGTGTTAGTCACGAAAGTTTCGCCAAAAAATCGCCAAGTTACCATAATCAAAGATTCACTAAAAATACTATGACCACTTAAATTCCTGAAGTGAGTTCTTTGCTAGGTACCTCAATGAAAATCTCTGTGACATCTGTGCACATTGTTGATTGCAATGATCTTGAAGAGAGTTCTTGATGAATATGAGAAAAACATTAAGATCTTTTTGAGCAGATAATTAAAAATTTCGTCATTAATTTTAGTTGTTGTCTAATATTTTCCTTTATTGGGCTTCAAAAATATAGTTTAAAAATATAGAAATTAGTGCTAAAAGTCAGTGAATCACAAAAGGGCTTATTTTTATTTATCTTACAGTCTTGGAAGGTCTAAGGCAGTAATTCCAGTTAATGCTGCTAGCTTATTAATATGTATATTCATCTATTAAATAAGGTTTTCCAATTTTCCAATTATTCCAATTATGACCTAAAATTTTATTATTGTAAAATGTTTTAATGTAGCTCAGGTAGAAGTAAGTATCTTGAAGAAGATATGCTGATTTGATTAAATAATTTGAATTTATCAATGACTGCTTTTTTTGTTTCTCAGATATTGTATGAGTTATTACATTTTAATAAAAAATCTTTTATTATTATTATTGTAGCAGCTTTTTATTTTTCTTTAAACTATGGGAACTTATATATATGTTATAATTTTCATATATTGCTTTTATCTTTGAAGGAATATAAAGAAATTTGTCACTGTACATTAACAATTTTTTTCTGTCATTTAAGCTCTGGTATTAATGCAAGAAGGAAAAGTTGTGGAAAAAAAACTATATGAAGTGATTTGTTCACAGGTAAATTTGATTGAAAGTTTTTAAACTATATTCATGTTCTCTAATAAACTGATTGCATACTAAAGAAATATTGCAAATTATTATAATTTAAAAAATTAAGAGCCACAAAAATGAGCTCAAATTTTTCATCCTCATTACATCACATGAGTTTGTAAATAGCTAAAATATTTTTGATAAAGTCCAGTCTTATTGTTGTAATATTAATTATGCCCTTTAATTAAGTATTTTAAGCAATCTATTGTATACAATAAAAGTGTGATTTTTATTAGTGGGAAGACTGCATTTTCCTTCTATTAATACATTCTATCCTAAGGTATTTAAATTTAGTAGCAGAATTTTTGTTTCAATAAAATTGACGTAGCGGAAGACTGCATTTTCCTTCTATTAATACATTCTATCCTAAGGTATTTAAATTTAGTAGCAGAATTTTTGTTTCAATAAAATTGACGTAGCATTTTTGTAAAATTTATGTTCCCCCCAACCCACCCCCCCACCCCACTTTTACCTCAAGAAATATTGTATATATTTTATTTATTGAATATTTTTCAATGTTATCAAAATATTTATTGCTCTTCACTCATTATTTATAAATCTTGAGTTTAAAATTAAGAAATCCGAACTAAAATAGAAGTTTTATTTGATCTTTTGTAATCATAGAAAATATGAAAAGTATGTTAAAATGCTATAGAAAATGGGAATTTATATTGCCCTTGTTGTGAATTTCATTTTTAGGTATGGTCTTTACTTCCTGGCTTTTGTACAGAACCAACAGATTTGAAAGAGGTAATAACTTTTAGGCTTGTATTTGTTAAAAAGTTCATTAAATGCTTTTCATTTTTTGTCTTCAAATTTATGTACTTTATTTTCTTTGGTAATTCATTTGATGGAAGTTGGTGCATTTCAAAAGAAATACTCATACGTGTAATTTCCTTTATAAGTGTGTTTTTTAATTCCATTGTTTTTTATCACTGTTTATGAATTATACATACATACATACATACATACATATTTGACTGATGACTTTCTGATGACAGACTGCTAAGAAAAAGAGGAAGAAATATACAGAACTTTTTCTTTTTTATTAGTAGGATCTAATAACGTCTGGATAATGAAAACCTCATTCAGGCCTCGGCAATCTATGACTCTTGAGTCATTGAGTGATCCATTTCTTAATTTCGAGTGCCCACCTTAGTTCATAAGATAAATAAATTATAAGATATAAATATGAAATGGACACTTGAAGAATGCATGAAATATAAACTGAAAATAAATAACAATAACATTTTTGTTTGATTACAGAGTTGCAGTAACAAATATGCATTTTTATTTAAAAAAAAAATAACATAATTTCAGAGAGAAATCAATAAGTTTGGTGATGCTGATTTTGTTCACTCTTAGTTGTAGCCCTTGTTCACTTGCACAAGAATCAATTCATTAGTGAAAAGAATTGGCTTTAGCATTTCGTCCACATTCGGTTCAACTTATATATGCAATTAAAAGTTATCACACATGAAATTTATTTTAAGTAAGAACAGGAACAGCTTAAATGCTGAAAATTCAGATGCTTTATTCATCTTAAGGTCCTTTATATCAAGAGAAAAATAAAGTATTAAGAGAATAATAAAGTAGTTATGTTTGTTTGTTTTTATAATAATCAAAATTATAGTTTTATGTATAATGTTTAAAGCATATTTTAATTATTTTCTGAATAACATTTATTTTATTATTTTCCAAAACAGACTGTTTTAAAATGAAAATACCACTGTTCCTAAACTTCTTAATACACCTTTGGGTTGATTTTCCCTTGCTGCCAAAAAACATTGTGGGCCCTGTTCCATGTCTTGCTGTATTTAAACTGATTGATAATCTAAAATCTGCAATCTTCAAAATCTTGAAGATTTCAGATCATTTACTTTGTACAGTGTTTTAATAGGAAAGGCTTTTGGTCATTCTGGAATGTTTAGTGAAATAACTTGCTGTGTATTTTTGAACCATTTATAAATGTGCTCTTCAGACACTGCACTTATCTGTCACTTTGTGTGTCTGAGTGTAATATTCTTTTGTATTTTGATGTATGAAGTTTTAACGTGTTAGAAACGTTTTTTAATGAACTACATATATTTGCATTGTTGTGATTTGAATATAGTATTTGTTTTTTTATCTTTTTTCTTCCATTTTGCCATGAAACTGTTTTTAGTTTTTCCTGTATAATTTTAGCTTTGTTTCATTGTAAATATGTGTAACATTCATAAGTAGAAATGATTTATTTTATGTGTGTATTGTTAACTCTTTACACATTTGCGTATCTGTTTTTTATATCTTAGTTTTCTAGATCGGCAATTTCTTTACTTGTTTGTTTTGAAATTTCTGCATTAGCATGCATGTTTTTAATTTATAAATATTATATTCCTCTTTAGTGCTTCAAAAGTGTTGCACAAACTCTTGGTGTAATTCTTAAAGATGAAGCTCCCTTGCGGATGACAATATTGAGTTCTCTTAGGTTGTTAATAAGTAAAAATGTGGAAAATGGTATGTTTTTGAAACTTGTATTTTCACTTCCCTTTTCCCTTACTTTAAAGAAGAACTAAACTGAATTGAAATTATTTTATGAACAGACTTTACCTTTAAAAATGATTACTGTGTATATTGTAATGGAAATAATTTGCGGGGGAAAAAATATCTGCAATTGAATACATACTTGGATTTTAGCATGTAATTAATTTAATAAATTTGAATGTGTAAGCTGTAGTATTTGGGCGTACCCTTCCCATCTCAAAATTATCAGTTGCTTAATTAGACCAAAATCCTAATCACGCTGAATTAATTTGAATTGACACTATATGAGAAGAGAAGTTTAATATTTTCCTCTCTTCAACATTTGTAAAAGGGGGAAAAAAAGGTCAAGACAGCTTTTGTTATTTAATTGAAATGCAGAATTATTTATAATTTATCATAACCTGAGAATAATTATGATGCATTGCAGTATCAAAATTTTTGTAAAATCAATAAATTAGCATTTATTGTTATTGAACTTTAAATAAAAAAGAAACTCAACTTCACATCTGTTTTACATTATGTATATATGTTGAAATACAGTGCAATTTTACATTTTTAACAGAGCAAAAACTTACATATTTTAATCAAAAATTCAGTTATTTTTTAACTTTTAACTAAAATTCAGAGAAGTGCAAGTTTTTCTTTGAAATGTGGTTATATCAATCCTTATCTTTTACATTTGGGTACTATAAAACTGGTTATTATAAAAGATATTTTGAATGCTGCATTAAAACAAAATTAAATGATATAATCTAGACTTACATGGTTTTAAAATATGAGGGGCACTCAAAAAGTTCCTGAAATTTCGCTGTAACTCTATCACCACAAATAATTTATTTTTTACTACAATTATATTTATTTACTAGTGGAATTCATAACAGGCAGTGAAGCTGAAGGTAGGAGGATGTGGTGATTAGTTGGTGCGATGGTGAAGTTTCAGCAAAGGATTAACATCAAGTTTGTGTGATGATTGAGGAAATCTGCTTCAGAGACTTTGTTAGCCTTACAACTAGTTTACAGGAATAATTCTTTAAAGAAAACATCCGTTTACGAGTGGTTATCAAGATTTCGGGCTGGACAGGAATCGCTAGAAGACGAGAGCCATAATGGGAGACCTTCAACCTCCAGAAACAAAGGAATGGTCGAGCAAGTAAGACAATTAATCAGATCAGACTGAAGAATGGCCATCGATGAGTTGGCGCAGAAAGTGGAGATCTCTCATGGATCCATTGACGTAATCCTGTAAGATTTGAAGATGAAACATGACCGTGAAAAGTTTGTTTCGCGGCTGCTGAATCCAGATCAAATGGAAACTCGGCAATTGCCTGTGGATAAATGTTTTGAAAAAAGTACAGAGAAACCAACATTTCTTGAGAGAATTGGTACTGGTGATGTGACTTGGGTATACACATACAACCCGGAGACAAAGATGCAGTCCATCAGAATGGCACACAATGTCCTTCCCTCAAAGAAATCATGTTATGTCACATTCAAAACAAAAGTTAAAGTTATTCTCGTTGCATTTTTCGACAACGAAGGTGTTGTGCACTATGAATTTGTACTAGTTAGTCAAGCTGTTAACAGCCCTTTTTACATGCAAATTTTGAAAAGACTGAGAGAAGCAATCCAAAGAAAACGACCTGCCAATTGGCAAGGAGGATGATTACTGCATCACAACAATGCCTCCCCCTCGATTGCTGTGCAAGCATGGCTCACAGAAAAGAACATTCCACTCATCCACCAGCCTCCTTGTTCACCAGATTTAGCACCATTAAATTTTTGGCTCTTCCTCGAGATCAAAATGGGCCTCAAAGGTAACTGTTTTGACACTTTAGTAGACATAAGACCAACACCACAACAGAACTTTTAGCGTTGTTTTCAGCATTGGCAGAAACAGTAGAGCAAGTGTGTGTTCTAAAAGAGCCTGGTTTGAAGGTGATTAAGTAAATGTGTAGATGTATTGTAGTACTAAAGAATTACAACACAATTCTGGGAACTTTTTGTCTATCTGCCCTACATATCTGTAGGCTCAAAATGACAAAAATTATAAATGTTCTATGTGCTTTTATCATAAAGTTATTATCAGTACTATACTCTGATTTTATCCAAACAGATGCTAAACTGTTGTGATTTCCTCAATATTTGCAGCAACTCTCATGCCATATTGTTGTAGTTAGTCTAAACTTACTGTGAGTGGAGAATATGAGCCATTCATGATGCATCCCTACAAATTGAAATTACTGAGAATTACATGGCTTCTTCAAGGAAAACACGTCAGTGCTTTGCTGTCATTGTTGACTGGCCCATACATATCACAAAAGATTTTCATGTACACTGCTAAAGAAAAAGAAAAAAAAAAGTGGGACAGTTCTATATCTCCTGTTCTACTGGGCCGATTGACAAAATTCAAATTGCGTTTTTCATGTCTCGAAAAGCGCGACTTAGGATATATATTAGATTTATTTATAGCACTATTCTAACATAGTTATTTTGACAAAATCGGACTTTTTCTGAAATAACATACCAATTGTTTTACATATTTCGATTCTACAACTCAAATTACGCCTAAATATGAAATTTTGTAAAATTTGGAGCAAAATTTACGGAGAAATTCACAAATTTATGTTGGCAATTTTTTTTCAGTTTGTGCCAAGAATAGTTCACTTGGTGAACTTCTTAATATATGGCATCCCCATGTGTAACGTGTATACGAGCCAGTTTCCCTTAGAAAGTCCTCCACGAAGGCATCCCTTCCCTTAGGCAGATAGCCCTCGAGGCTTTGCCATAATCACACACACACACACACTTAATATATGGCAACCTAGTTTTCTTTCCCGTGAGAGGAAAAAAAGTCACCATCGTTCCTTTTTTCCAAATAATATTCTTTATATTATATTTTTAATTATAACTGTTGTTATTTTAAGTAATTTTTTCTTTTTCGAATTTCATTTTTATTTTTTAAATTGCATGGTTTTTTCGAATAACTGGTTTTAAAAATTTCCATTTACCTATTCGAACTGCGTAAATAAAGGTGCAGCGTTCATTTTTTGTTTTCAAATACTTTTCTTTATATATATATTTTGTCGTAGTTATTATTTTAGGTAATTTTAAAATGTTTATTACTTTTATTTCAATTGTTTGTATTGCATTGTCTCTTCAGATAATTGTTTTAAAATTTTCTATTTATTCCTTCGAACTGAGCATTTAAATATATTATTAATATAATTTTCCAGAATTTAATTTTATTTATTGAATTGCTTTCTTTCGAAGAATAATTTGCAACCAGACTACGATGCGTTTGAAAACTGCATAATTAAAGAGAAAATACAGTAAGCACAGTTAACACGCCTTTCATTTCCGTTCAGAAAAGATATATATAAATAGAGAGATGTATAACCGACATTTTAACTTACGATGACTTGCATACACCTTTAAACATTTTATCATTGTGCCTATTGCTTTTAACGCAATTTATCCTACATTTGGTTCTTAAAACTTTATTCATATTTTAGTCAAATATTTTATTTTTGAAATCCCAAGACTCAAATATCTTAAGATTAAAAGGTTTTAAATTTAAAAAAAAAAATACTAAATTTTATGCAAAAATTTATTTTTTCTTTTCTTTTTCTTCAGGCATTCTACTTTATTCTTGCTCTTTTTCGTTAGGCATTCTGCAAGTATATTAAAAAGCATCAGACTTTTCGAAATATCTTGGTATATCTGACAATCATTTTAAATAAAGTTATCGCCTTCCATTTCATAAAAGACCACAAACGGCCGAGCGATAAAGTCGCTGAACACTGGTAGTTCACTCCGGGGTTCGAATCCCGGTAAACGGGCTGGTTGCATGGGTGTTTTCGTGGATTTTCTCATGTGTACTGTGTATGCCAGCTGGTTTCCCTTAGAAAGTTCTTAACGAAGTATTTGATCAGAGCCTTTATCAGGCTTTAGAGGCTAAACATTTTGAAGGTATGAGATGAAAGGAAAGACTGGTTTCATCAAGATGTTTTGGTTTATTTAATTACGACAAAGCGAACTAGCGCTATCTGCCTAAGGGGAGAGATGCCTTCGTGGAGGACTTTCTAAGGGAAACTGGCTCGCATACACGTTATACATGAGGAAAACGCCCATGCAGCCAGCCTTTTTGCAGGATTCGAACCTCGGACCGAACTACCAGTGTTCAGCGACTTTACCACTCGGCCGCTGTTTCATCAAGAGGGGGAAAAAAAAAAACCTCTTTAGGTGACATCCACATACATCACTGGATAAACTCTTGAATCTTCAAATAATTCGTCTGAGAAAATCATGGGGTTCTCCATTTATGATACGATATGATGTTCTATAATGTAATTTAAATTTATATAACCGTATAGTCTAAAATCAGTCGCTCTTCACTTTAATCTGCAATGATATAGTTTTTGTCTTTTCTGTTAACACAAGTTTAATTGATGGTATTTGCTGGTGTACACGTGCAAGTGTTTTCGCTTTGAACACCTAAATTCTTTGAAGTATCCTGAAAGTATATTCAAAAGTGTCCAACTTTTTTAAACATCTTGGTATGTCTGACATCCAAATTTCCCTGCAAATTTTTGCATACTTTTCTCCCTAATTTTCTTCTTTCCTTCTACAGTTATTTTCAGTGCTCACACAAAAAAATAAGATTTTTCGATTGTTACACTTCCAAAAATTTTGCATTCTTGTCATTTTTTAAAAAATATCAATTACATCAACTGATTCCGTTTCAGTCGAAGACAGCTTTTCATTTTCTAGGTCATTTTAACTATAAATAAAAGTTTAGCAAGTCCAAAGGATAAATTTTTAATTAAAAGATTTTTGTTAAATGACAAAGAAATAAACAGTCCAGCAATTTTATTCTTTACCACCGTAATTGTCATATTAAAGATCATGTTTTTTTTATCAATCTTAATGCGAGAGAAAATTAGCTTCTTAAAACATTCTTTCTAAGAATTATGTAAAAGATTTCTATATATATATATATATATATATTATTTAAAGTTGGGACCTGAACCAAATTGTCAAAACTTTTAAGTTTAATTTACATGGTGGTTATAATTAAAGTTTCCAACTTTGAAATGGTCCATAAAAGGAAAACTACCGGACCAAATGGTTAATCAAACTTGGGAATCTTGTAAAGGAGGTTATGGAAATTTATTTTCTGCGGGGGTTAGAAAAAAAAAAAGTTTAAAAACTCACCACCAGGGGAAAAATGGTGCTGTATACAATATTATTAAATGAAATAATATAATGAAAACACTGTTTAAAATGTGTTTATTAGTTTCCGAAACGTGTTACAAAGCATGTTCAATGTAGCGTCCGGCATTTTCCGAAAGCAAGTTAAATCCTGTTACTTTACTGCATCAACAGCAGCTCTTAGCATATCAGGAGGAATGTACAGACATGTCAGTGTATCACATTTTTCATTTCTGCCAATTGTTTAGATTATAACCATAAACAGTGCTTTTAAGATAACCCTATAGCCAAAAGTCACAGAGGTTGAGGTGTCTGGTGGAAAAGAGGGGAAGTGATCGGCTTATAAGACGTTCATTCGTAAAATGTTGCCTTAAAGTAACTGTGGCGACACACGTGAGGTGGGGCCCAGCCCTGCATAAAAATCATAGTATCTAAAATGCCACGTTAGTGCGGTTCATGTATTACGAAACATTTTAACATTGACTCTAAGTGAGCTGCAATCACAGTGGTTCAACTGTCGACTCCTCTTCAGAGGAAAATGGTTCAGTTATAAAACTAGCTGTCATTCAACACTAAACGGTGTGGAATGACTGCTATGCAATCGAATGCAGTAGGAGAATGCAATTGAACTAGATAGATAACATGAGAGATTTCTTTCACCCAAATCGATTAAAAGCGTTTTGAATCAGTATCTTCTTGTTTTAGGACCGAACTCAGGCTTCAAAAATTAGAAATTAGCGATCTGTAAGAAAACGATTTCCAGATTGTACGCACTTGTGCGATAGATTTGCGATTTCACATTTTCTAATCGCTAATTCGTGGTTTTCACGGACGGCGCACTCGAATTTAACGCGTTTAAATGGTAATTTGCTTGCTTCAAAGTTTCTTAAGGGTATACAACATATTAAACCCATGTAACAAAAAGTTCAGTTAGATTTC